AGTAAGAGAGAGTGTTCGACTGGAGACGATGTTGAGCCTGTATAAAGTAGTGTTTTTGTCTTTTGATGGTGTTGCGCACCGTGATTGGTGCAAAATAGATCATTTCGATGGTTTTATTGGTCAGCTATAATAGCTTGACGCGTCACACTGGTCAGCTACAATAGCGTCCATCGAACGCGTGCAGCCACTAGTGGTACCACATGTTGCAGCTAATAGAGACACCACCTGGTGACGTCACACAGTCCTCCTACGTGTAAACGCCAACTATCACTGTAAGGTAAAATGGAGCGAATCTCTTCATTTCGCGGTAACGTTAAGCTGGAAAAGGCAGAGTAACATGAGCTCCAGCACGAGAATACGCTGTGTGGACGAAATTCCGCGCATCCCACCAAGAACAGTCCAGGTTTGACGGAGCGGTGTGCATGTTGGTTGGTTTCAACGTGATGGTTCGTGCATGGTTGGGGCGGCTGAAATGAAAACAGAGTCGATGTACCCACGTTCGGTTCCTTGCGTCTGGTCCAAAAAGCTGCGCTTCGCATGACGCGCACACATAGTCCTGGCGCGTCAGAAGGGAACGATGCAAGAGGACCGCCCTGCGATCTTGTCGTAACGCGTGCGCCTCACAAGAATGTCATCGCACCATGCAGTAAACGTCACGCCTTCTAGCAAAATGAGCCTGATCCGCATCGTCGCTTTGACTCTTGGAGCTGTGTCAGGCAGCCGCTCGAGACTCGACCAGCTCTTTGTGGCTGCCTTTATCTACTTCTTTATAGTATGGTCGTACTAACTTTGGCGGTGGGTCACATGCCGGTACCGCGCCCACGTACAACATGTGTTGGAGGAAGAACGGTCGCAAATGCACGAAGCTCGCGAGCAAAAGGCAAGTGCGTTGGCTGCTGGCTGTGCATGCGTTGTCGAGGCCAGACACATCCGCCAAGCATGCACAACATTCCGTGGTCAAGGTGCATCTTACATGGGTCTACCAACGTGGCGTTCGTAGCGCTGTTTCCAGGAACCAACGTCGACGTCGCAAGCCAAACACATGGCTCGGCCGCTCGTTCGATGCACGCAGAACAATTTCGTTAACCGTTTTCCCCACGAGCTCACTTGTTCTTTTTCCGCAATGGCGACATCCCAGAGGTTTGGTGTGTGCGACCTCGAAGAGCGCGTCTCGTACATCCAGTCGGCGACGCTCAGCACCAAGACACCCAACTATGCTCAGGCAAAGACACCCAACGAGCTCGAAAATGGCGCGCTCGTTGCCGGCGGTGCGCTCACGCTCCTGTCGCGGGAGGCCGTCGCGCTCTTCTCGCAGTACTTTGCGATCGGTATCATCTACGGCATGCTCCCGGGCCTTCAGTACCCGGTGTTCAACAACTACTTGCGCATGGAAGGCTACCAAACGTCGGCGTACAGCGTGCTCGTCGCGCTCGGCTGGTCGTTCAAGGTCTTCTTTGGCATGCTCTCGGACTGTGTCCCGATTTTTGGCTACCGCCGCAAGCCGTACATGCTTCTGGGGTGGACACTGGCGACGGTCTGCCTCTGCGTCATGACGTTCACACCGTTCGGCGCGCCGTACTGCGACGGTCGCTTCACCAAATGCCCAAGCGTGACGCCCCCGATCGCCAACCTCACACGCGACGACAAGCTGCAATACTACAACTTTGACGCGCCCAACGGCGGTACCAAGTTTATCGTGCTCTCGGTCATCGTCGGCTTTGGCTACGTCATGGCCGACTGCGCGGCGGATGCGATGGTCGTCGAGTACGCCCAGCGCGAGCCCGAGGCCATTCGTGGCCGCACCCAGACAGCAATCTACACGAGCCGCTACGTTGGCACGATGCTCGCGCAACTCTGCATCGCGTTCCTCCTCAACGGCAAGGTCTACGGCGGCTCGTTCGACTACGCCGTGACGCCGAATGTCATGTACGCCATCTGCCTCGGTCCATGCTTCCTCATCGTGCTCAGCACGCTCTTCGTCCTCGTCGAAGTCAAGTCAAACCGAACGCCGTTTGTAGAATGGGTCGAAAGCTTCTGGGGCCTCCTTCAGAAGCGCGTCATGTGGCAAGTGTGCGGCTTCAAGTTCATCAACCAAGTGTTTGCGTCCTTCTCCGCCACGCCGTCGACGCCGATCTCCAAGACGTGGGCGGGCGTCGAGCCCCTTAATGACTCGCTCTCGGGCGTCTTTGGCTCGCTCATCATCTCGGTCATCATGGTCATCGTCGGCAAGTGGGGTCTCCACTGGAACTGGCGCTACGTCATTGCGCTCGGTACGATCGGCATTCTCATCATTGACTCAATCGTGGTGTTTGTCACCGTCTGGAACATCTTTCGCAACCAGTGGTTTTTCAACGGCGTCGCGCTCGCCGAGAACGTTCCGTCCGGCATTCGCTTCATCGTCTCGACATACTGCGCTGTCGAGATTGCTGATGTCGGTAACGAAGGCGCGACCTACGGCTTGGTCACGACGGTCTCCAACTTGGCGTCGCCATTTGCGTCCGTGCTCTACAAGCTCGTCGACTCGTTCTTTGACGTTTCGCAGACCGACATCTCGCGCGACGACACCGCCGTGCGCTGGGAGGTCACGTACTGCTACCTCATTGCGTACGCCAGCAAGCTCTTCTCGCTCGTGTGGCTGTTCCTGCTGCCGCCCCAGAAGGCGGAGATGCAAGCGCTCAAGAAGCGCGGTGAGACGAGCAAGCTTGCCGGCGGTCTCCTCGTTGCCGTCTTTGTGGTCGCGCTCGCCTTCTCGGTGACGTCCAACTTTATGTCGATTTACCCATCCACCAAGTGCTACCGCATTGCCGGCGGCAAGGGCACCGTCAACGGCTCGTGCCCCAAGTAACCCAGTAGCGTTCACTCTAGTATTGCTCTTTATACATGTTGAACAACCAATGCTTTCGCCTTTGTCCAGCCGACGACTAGCTAAGATCTAATTGCATGGACCAATCGCATGCGACCTCACCAGCCGTGGTGCGTGTTCCGCCTGCCACGCCATAGACTATATATTTGTAGTGCATACATTAATGTAGTTGGTGACGTGGCGTCGTATTTGCCGAGTGCACCATCGACGCAGCGAATTCCGGTGATTTGATTGGTCGCCAATGTATCCGAGTGCAAGTTCGCGAATTCCAAACCCTTCGTTAACCAACTGCAAGGAGATCCGTGGACGGACCACCCGCCACCATCAATTGATCGACTGTCTCGACGACCAATGCGGACGACCCAGCGTGAGAAGGCGCCTATTCTCGGCGATAAGGGCGCAGCGTACGGAGCAGCGACCGCCTCAGTCGACCTCGAAGACGGCGGCGCGCTTGTGCCCGGGCACACGCTCTCGCTCATCTCGCAAGAAGCGCTCGCGCTCTTCTCGCAGTACTTTGCCATCGGCATTCTGTACGGCATGCTGCCAGGGCTCAAGTACCCGGTGTTCAACAACTATCTGCACATGGAAGGCTACCAAACATCGGCGTACGGCGTCCTCATCTACATTGGGTGGTCGTTCAAGGTCTTCCTCGGCATGCTCTCAGACTGCTTTCCGCTCTTTGGCTATCGCCGCAAGCCGTGGATGCTCCTTGGGTGGGCGATCGCGACCTTTGGACTCTGTCTCATGACCTTCTCGCCGTTTCCTGCGCCGTACTGCGACGACGCGTGTCTCGCCAAGATGGCCACCTTCAACGTTGACGCGCCCAACAGCGGCTTCAAATTCATTGTGCTCTCGGTCCTCGTCGGCTTTGGCTACGTCATGGCCGACTGCGCGGCCGACGCGATGGTCGTCGAGTACGCCCAGCGCGAACCCGCCGCGGTCCGCGGGCGCACACAAACCGCGGTCTACACGAGCCGGTACATGGGCCAGATGCTCGCGCAGTGCTCGATCGCGTTCCTTCTCAACGGACCTGCGTACGGCGGGTCGTTTACGTTTAGCGTGTCCCCGAATGTCATGTACGGCATCTGCCTCGTGCCGTGTGCGCTCATCGTGCCCAGCACGCTGCTCTTCCTCGTCGAAGTGCCCTCCGCCAAAGTCTCGTTTGCCGACTGGGTGGCCAACTTTTGGGGCCTTCTCCAGAAGCGCGTCATGTGGCAGATCTGCGCCTTCAAGTTCCTCAACTCGGCCTTCTCGAGCTTTGCGGCAACGCCAAGCGCACCCATTGCGCGGACGTGGGCGGGCGTCGAGCCTGTCAACGACGCCATCGCCGGTGTCCTTGGGTCGCTTCTCATGTCGGTCATCATGGCCGTTGTCGGCAAGTGGGGTCTGGCCTGGAACTGGCGCTACGTCATTGCGCTCAGCACGATCGGTATCATCCTCATTGATGCACTCGCCGTGTTTGTGACGGTCTGGGACGTCTTCCGCAACCAGTGGTTCTACAACGGCGTCGTCCTCGCCGAGAAGATCCCCGACGGCATCCGCTTCATGGTGGCGTCCTACTGCGCCGTCGAGATCGCGGACGTCGGCAACGAAGGCGCCACGTACGGGCTCGTGACGACGGTCGGCAACCTTGCGACGCCGTTCGCCTCTGTCTTTTACAAGCTCGCCGACTCGGTGTTTGATGTGACGCAAACAGACATTGCCCGCGACGACGACGTGGTCAAGTGGCAAGTGACGTACTGCTTTCTCCTCTCGTATGCAGTCAAGTTGGCCGCGCTCCTCTGGCTCTTCCTGCTGCCGCCGCAGAAGCAAGCGCTGCAGCAGATGAAGAAGAGCGGCGGTTCGAGTCGCCTTGCGGGCGGGATCGTCGTCACTGTCTTTTGCTTTGCCCTTGCTTTCTCCGTGACGACCAACTTTATGTCGATCTACCCCGCAACCAAGTGCTACCGCATTGCTGGCGGCCAGGGCACCGTCAACGGCTCGTGTTTCTAATTTCATCTTTGTACTCGCTTTTGATAGTGTCTGCGTGTGTTCTTCATGCGCCTATTGTTTTTACGGGTGAGTATGGGGACTGCCGGCGCGGAAGGGTTGCGGGCAGCGCGACCGATCCGATTCCTAAAAACCAACTACCGACGACGTGCTGTGTGTATGGACAAAGCTATTAGTCGACGCGTCCATGGATCAGCCTCGTGGGATGTGAAGATCGCACTCAACCCGTGTCGAAAGTGAACCCGATACCATGGATCTTCTGAGGGAGCCACGACTTGAGGCAAATCTCGCAGAGCGCGTTGGGCTAGTGTGTCTCATCTGAAAGCATTTGATTGAGCGAACGACAGTCCGCAGCAACGTGTTGCGAGCGGTTCCGATAGCCTTTTAGGTAGCAGCCTACACCAACGCGAGGCCAAGATGCAAAATCGTCGCAGCGTTTGCTTATCGTTGGCTTCTTCGTAAGGAGCGACATCGTTTGACGGCTTCGCTCGACCATTACGGCCGGAGCACTTCGGAGCGGTCCCAGCGTCACTTACTTGTGTGTGTTCTTTGTGATTAGAGCGCCGACATGACGGGCAATTGGTCGTCTCGATCGACGCCGAGACGCCTCCATTATGCGCAGTAAGTCTAAGTGCGCGGTCGAGCCGACGCGACTGGCTCCCCTCGTTATGCCGCGACATCACCTTGGACGCACTCTATGACCGCGCCCGAAGGTCAGGAGACCTAATATTGAACACGGGACACGGATGGTACGAGCTGGAGAGTATGAAGGACCCTCTGCTGCATCCACCTCATACAAGCCGTCATGCGCTATCGTCGGCATGGCTGCCTCATTCAGGCGCTGCTTAAGCTAACGTACCTCTGGTCCCGTTGACTATCATTTCTTAGGCCCTTCTTGGGCCCTCCTAAGACTGTTCTTAGGCGAGCCTATGCCAATGGAGTTGGTGGACGGGCACCTGTGTTGCCAGCATTCGCGTCTTCATCGAGGCTTTTGCCAGCACTATGCAAGCGTGTACTAGTACCAAGGATCAACACGCTCGTGTCGCGATCGGACGGGAGAATTTTTGGCCGAGCGTTCTGGCGGGAACGGCACATAATGATTTCGGCCAAATCAGATACTGCCATCATCATGAGCACTGAGTTGGTGGTTGGCTACTCGTAGTACTACGTCCTATAGCAGCTTGAGGGGAAAAGAGTGGCGCGCATGCATTGTGGCAACGTGGCGCGGCGAGTAAACGCCCTATATTGGTACCATTGGTCGCAGTAGGTCTATGACGGTATTTGCGCTGGTGCCAAAATCACTCGCAACTCAGATCGCAACAAACGTAGCACCACCCAGCTCAGCGGGAAGAGACGGCGTCAGCAGTGATTTTTCATTGCACGGCGGCGTAAAAGAACATTGAAGACAACAGAAGTAGATCTGAGCACGCGCAACCCACGACCTGCAAGGGGACACGTTAGAAGGACTTGGCGAGCTCGACGAGAACGAGTACTTGGCAAGCCTCATGACCAATCCCGCCGCTGCCTTTAAAGTATTTTCAAGGCCCAGAGCGCTTGGTATCGATCACCTTGTGACGGAAACGCGGGTGCTTGTGCAGCCAGCCACCCATTGAGCGCAAGGGAAAAAGTTGAACGAACTATCTGAGTTGGACGGTGGTTGATCGCGCTGCATGTTGTTCGCCTTCTGTGCGCCCGATACAAAAACCAAGTGCTACGACCACACGCAACATCGTGGATGCTACGGCAAGCTCCGAAGCTCCATAGAAACCTGTTGCATCTGGTGAAAACTTGAGGCGAAGTTGACCTTTGCGTCCACGTCACACCGTTACGATCC